CTTGGAGCATTTTAGTGAATCCATTTCTAAAACTTACCTAGAATTTGAATAGCTAATGGTGATCATAGAGTCATGCACCGACTGTGCAGTTTGCTGATGGAACAGTCTTCTTTCTAATTCTATCTAATTCACTGCAGTAGTGACAGTAACTTAGTTTGTTAGAGTGCTACTATTTTTAGGAAACCAAAGTGTTTTTCCTCCTATCAGGGCATTTGGGGTTAACTTGTGGAATTGCCAATGGCAGCTCCTCATCCACAGGTTTGCTCCTGAAACATGGGAAAGACTTCCCTGTTATTGACAGTAAACAAACACCACAACATACCTCTTTGAAAGTGAACTGTCAGTATTCCACTGATGGAGTCTCTGCAATTTCTCTATAGCATATAAACAACAGCAAAAAATCCCACTGTGTCTGCAGCATACTTCTGTGTGAGTTGTAATCAAATAAATTACTGGAACATTTACATGCCTGCTGAGTTAAGCTGATTGATTTTGAGTAAGTGAATGAACAACAGAACGTTTACTGGAAATTTGTGTTTCCACCATTCTGAGACAATTTGTGAATTCTGCAAACTGCATCTGAAGAAAAAAAATGGATGCTGGTGGTAAATAACTGGGGACTTCGTTGTCTATAAGAGTTCTGTGGGTGGTGGTGCCTTTTTCTCCAGCAGGCAGGAGACTAGAGAATTACCTTCTAGTACTGTATAGTTCTTACATGAAATTTGGGAAAAGGAAGGTTTTCTGGCATTTTCCAGTAGTTTATTGTCTGTTTGTGYAGTGGGTCTTGTAATGAAAGCAGAACTCATCTTCTGGGGTTGGTCAAGATACACAAAGGCAAGAGAAAATACCTTTATATGAAACAGAAGTCAAGGGTTACCTGAACAGTATTTTTGATGCAATACTTGCATTTTTACCAGTGTGGGATGTGGCATTTGTGCATCTCACAGTTTTGTTACTGCTTTGGTARAGCAGAACCTTGATAGACAGCATGCTCAAGGAAGATGGTGCTGGTGCCACAGCATCCCCCAAGTTCTCTCTTTCTACGACGGTGTCTGTTAAGCTGCACATTGCTGAGGAGACATTTGGAAATCATAGCCCATCTCAGTGCCAGGAGGGGGAATTTTAGTTTTGTTTTGGTGTATCATGGTAGTTCCACACAATGTTCATTGCACAGGACAGCTTCTGCGCTGTGGTTTAGCTGAGCATAAGAATGCAGAAGGGCAAAAAGAGCTTAGTAACAATTCCTCTAAATTGAGTACTGAGACATTTCACATTTCCCCACAATACTGTTCATCCCTTTTAAGGGAMGTGTTCCAAAGGGGATGCACTAAGGGCTGCTTCACACAATTTCTCTGGGTCTTACTTCTTTTTCCTGTGTGAGRGTGCAGTTTGACCATCATTAATTCTCCAACTGGGATCATGGATTGGGTTTGATAGGCACTAGAAAGTTTTAGAACATTACTGCCATCACTCTTGTTACTGAATGATAATTTCTCAGGAGTTCATGACTGGAGAAAGAAAAGTTGTRAGCTAAAGTCAGATGTATTATAAACAAAATTACTCTTTAAATGGTAAAAAAAACATTGTTGAGGCCATTCTTGTACTGGGTCCAGCTGTGTGCTCTGCAGTACAAGAGGGACATGGACATACTGAACAGAATCCAATGAAGAAGTTGATCTCAACTCAAAGTTGATCTCCAGGTCACTGTTCTGTGATTCTGTGAAAGAAAAAAATGAATGAAAATATGCTGTCTTGATTTGCAAGTTAGCTGATGCGGAGAACACAATTGTTTCTGCAACCTAAAACCTTTGCTGTCAGTGCTATTAAAGAGAGAATACAATAGGAGTCAGGAAAGACATTACCCATGGCCTGGTGAATGTAAAAAACATGTGACATCCAGGATCTAGCTTTATAGCTTCTTTCATTTTATCATGTTGAAAAGCAGTCTGATTTCAWTTATTGTGTCGAATGACATTGCTGAATGTCTGTGTTCCCTTGCATGCATCACTCCTTGAATAGCAGTGTCATCATCTTCAGCCTCTTTAAGGTCAGCTGTGCTTTTTGTTCATCTCCAAAGCACTGACCTATGGGGCAGCAGTGTACTCACACAGCATTTTGCATTCCAGTTTTACTCATACAGCATTTTACACACCAGTTTTACTCATATAGCATTTTGCATTCCGGTTTTAATATATGCTTTTAGTAACAAATAAATAAATAAAAGTAACTGAATGGAAGAAAAATAACTAACTATACTTCCTAACACAAATATTTTTAGTTCTTTTCAAGCCAAGAATCAAAAACAGCTTTTGGGACCAACRTGGCTATAATGGCACAGTATTTAAGTATGTAGCAAGGGAAGAGCTATCAGTCTACTGGTCTTCAAAAGTTAACTGCTTTTTGCTTCCTGACTACTTTTGGATTTTTTTAATAGATAAGAGGTCTCTTAAGGCTTTGCTCTTTCTTTGGTCTTGGGGGTAACATCTTTATTTTTGTGTCGTAGTTCGGTTTTCTTGTTTGTTTGGGGAATTTATGTTAAGGCTTACTGGAATTGTAAAAATATCTGCACATAAAGCCAGACTGCTATGCCTACAAGACATGCAGAGTGACAAAGGGAGGCTGCCTGGCACGAAGCTTATTTAACTGGGAATGTTCATCAGAGCTAGGATGTGGAACAGCTTATTTTCACTTCTCTTACTACTCCCTGATTCTTTGTATGGGCAAGAAAATAGAGCTCTAATATAGGGAAAGGAATATTTTCCCTGTTCTGAACACTGGAACAATAATCGCTTCAAAAACTTATAGGCATAAGGTCATTTCTGTGTTATCCARTCTTTCCCATTTCCCGTTCCTAGATCTAGTTTCTGCACTTCAGATATCTCTGCCTATTGTTTCCAGTACTATAAGTGTAGTGCTGAGCATAGAAAAGTCACATACAGGTCAGAAATGAGATTGCTGGTATGAATGGGGATTTACTATGACTGGGTGACAGACTGAAATTTTCACTTCTTTCCTAAGAAAAATTTGTTTTTGTTCTATTTTTGGAGTCTCCTTTCTTTTTGTCACAGTAGCAGCCCTCTACATTCATAGCACTGATATGTAAACCTGCGAGGAAAGTGCAAGCTTGGAACTTCAGCCCTTTGATTAGAGCGTTAAGCCCCTGAAAGCATCGGCCGCCAGCAGCTGTTTGAAAATGAAGGGGACAGAAATGAGCTTGTTTGGGGTGTGGGGATGAGGAGAAACAAGTGTATATTCATGGGTCCCTTCTGCTTCTTTTTGTCAACTGGCAGTTTTCCTCAAGAGCCTTTTAGGTCAATCCTTTCGGACACTCACACCTAATCTCCAACAGCTTCAAATCCTGACCACTCATGTGTCGAATGCCTGTGCCACTTTATCAGCCTCACAGCTACTGTAGCACAAAGGGGCCTTGAGAAAGGGCTCACACAAATGGCTCTTTAATTCCCCGTGGGCTTAATGGTTCCTAACATTTTTGCTCTGTCTTGGAAAATACCTTACCGGAGTTTTGCCAGAACTTCGAWAATTTGGTTTGTTTTATGAAATAGTCCAACTCTTGATAAAATCAAAATGTAATTAATAATTCCATTACCTAGTTTAGAAGTACAGTGGAACTTGCTTTCGTGGAAAATCAGAGTTAATATATCTATGCTTAAATCTGCCGGTGGAAGTAAGAAAGAGATAAGTTCTTTCTTAATAGAAGTCTTTCATGGAGGACTGAAAAATACATCTTGTGTTTGGAAAAGCCTTCATCTTAATGCCTCTGTAACCTCTGAGTGGAGGATAAGTTCATCATGTATGCTAAGGTTAAAAACTGAAAATTGTTCACTGAGTTTCTGATACAAATTTCTGTTTCAAATTTCATTGCTGTGTTAGCTATTGTATTTACTTTTCCATATTTTTATACATTTACACAGTGAAGAGCTTTTAAAAGAACCTAGTTGCAGACTTTTTCAARTATTTTTTTGGCTGTTACTTTAATGTGCTTTGCCATGCCAGAAGGGTGATGCAGTTCTCTGTGTGAGGGTCATTAGAAGTATCTCTTGTGAAACTGAGACATACATCTGCAGAAGCTTTTACATAATTAGCCATAAGCTCTAGTTTTGCAATAAAGTCTAATCATTGCTTTATCATTTTATCTAACATGAACATCTGGTTATGGTTTTCCCATAAATATGGGATATARACATTAAGAAATACCCTTTAGGGTTTTGGTTTTGTTTTTTTCTTGTTTGCTTCTTTCTTTCTTTCTTTTTTTTTTTAATATGAAAGAGTGAAAGAAGATTGAAAATGTGTTATTTGCAGATTGGCTTATGAAAATCATTTATGACTCTTTGAACTGTAGAAGAATAATATAYTATCCATTAAACATATCCAAAATTTGGAACATTGATGAAGTGCTGACAATTTTTGAATCTTCTAAAACCTTTCAGCCACTTCTTCTTAACACTTTTCAGCCAGGGATATAAAAGTATAAAAAATGGACAAGCAAAGTATATTTTAAAAATTGAAAAGCTCTSTGTTCTTGCAAATTCTTCCATTTCTGACACAGGTCCTTCTCATTTTCTTTCGTTATCTGCCTTCCGTCTGAGACCACAAGCACAAATGTCAGAAWAAATTAAGATAAGCTTTTCTTGCATCATTTTTAGTTGTAGAGAAGAGGAAAGCATTGGCAGTCTTGCTGGGGAAGACTGTGCTTTTAAGGTTAATTGGGCATATATTAAGCATCAGAAGTCACAGRTYTTTTTTCTGTTTARCTTGACATCTGTGTGTTTCCACCAGCTTCAGAAGATTATTTCYCTTCTTATATGGGTTTGAGCTAATCCATCCTAACTGATGAAATAAGGCATTTTAGTGCCCAGCTGTGGAGTACATGTTTGCAGAGTCTTCTTAAATTATGTGTATCATTACTTACCCAATATGAGAAAATTAATGTATTTCATCATGTCTTTCTTTATGTCAATTTCTGTTTTCTTTGCCTTTAGGGTGAACCTGGTTTGCCTGGCWTAGCAGGAGAGAAGGGAGAAGCAGGGCTTAAGGTCAGTATTGAAAATGGATTAAAACCAGAAGCACGGAGTATGCGAGTGCATATGCAGAGGACAGTCATGCTTTCCTGCTTGGGTTTATGTTCTGACTGGCTTTTAATGATCTGCTCCCTCCAGTGATCAGTGCTGTAAGAGGCTTTACACGTATCTCCATAAAGAAGCATATTCTTCTGCTGTGCTTGTGTAATCCCAGTCAGCGGCACTGACGCATTGGCATCCCCTGCCAGCCCAATGCAATATGCCTGCGAGTGGTTGGGAATTCGGGGACCTTTTCAGAAGAGTTTTGTTTATGCCCCTTACAATGTCTCTCAGGCTTCTTTTCAAGAGCTGCTGTGGTCARTTCTTTGATGAATGTCAGGGTTAAGTCTTGAGGGCTGATCCTGCCATTATGGAAGTTAGCAACAARCCTCATTAGGAGCATGTCTCAGCCTGTATTTGTTACATCAGAMTGACTTTTTGCACTTCATTGTTATATAATTTGTTCTGCTGTTTTAGTATTGAAGAGTGAAATAGAACTTAAAGCTTATGGTAGCTTCGTTTAAAAGAAAACTCGACATTTCTGAGATGATGGGATGTGTGGGCCTCTTGGGAGGGGGTAATGCTCAATTCTAATCCCATCAGCTGTGAGTGAGCGTCTCTGGTGCACATGTGCTCCTCAGCTGATTCTGTGCATCACGCTGCTGCTGACAGACATGCAAGGCAGCCTCTTTGCATCCACTGACTGGCTGCTTGTCCATCAGGAATGAAAACAAACCGTTTGGGAGTGTGACCTTTTCTTACTTTGTATACTGCAGAAGCCAAATTACGGCAGTTGATGCTTATTTCGTRTTCACAGCTGTAGTCTCTGAGTTGCCTAGCGACTGCCAGCCATCAGAAGGGGCAAAGATGAGCCAGAGTGCAGCTCTGAGCCAGAAATGCAGAAATGAGCTGTCAGGGTCAGGCTGGTGTGCAAAAGTGCTTTTGCAGTTTCTCAAGCACATTTTAATTTTGAAATAAACAATGGCTGTAAGCCATCTTTTTGTTACAGAGATTGTTACAGAGAATGTAAGGAGCACTGAAAGCTCTACTCCAAAACAGTTGTGAATTAGTTCAAGACATCATTTTATCTCTCTTGAGGAGCCTTCTGAGCTGTTGACAGAATCATAAGACTTTCCCTTCACATTCAGACTTTGTGTTTTTCCTTCATTTGTTCCCAAAACAAGGAGAACCACATGTAGGAGTCACCTAGGTCCTTGCAGGCTAACTCTCATGGACATGTATCTGTTTGTCAAGGTATAGGACAAAACGGGGTGGGGGGGAAGTCTTCACATGCAAATCATTGAAGCTTTTAAAACAAATACATTGAATTTGTATTGCCCATTGAAGTCTACTAAATTTTCATATTTTGTTGTTTATTGGAGATTTTCTAGTGGGTTTTATCATCTGAGACATATTCACCAGTAGTGACATAATTATTAGTAATGATAGCAATGCTAATGATATTTGGTGATAGTAATACTAAYACTTTGATTTTTGCCTGACTTAGTAACTTCTGACTTCTTTGCTCCAATTATTTTCCTCAGGGTGACCCTGGAGAAAGAGGAGAAAAGGTGAGACGTTTCACTTTCTTTGTTGTGTTTTACTGCTTGGAGAATGGCCTGTGCACTGATTCCAAGTTTAAAAATAAAAAACCACAGCTRCTACCTAGAACTTGAGCATTGTTGTGCAGCCTTTCTGAGGGTCAGATAATACCTGCTAATGGAAGTTATTGATCTGTGATTACTGCAGTGGGATCAGTCAGAGAGTGATAAAGGCTGCAAGTAATCCTAACTGTGGTGAGTCTCAGAAAATGCTGAGCCTGTCTGAATAAATCAGAGATCCACACATTTCTTGTAACTTGGTTTTGATGCTCTGACACTGTGTGGAATAAAAATTAGATAGCAGAATGATAACTATATAGAGTCTAAGCCCTTTGCATGCTAAAAACGGAATGCTCCATTTGTGTTTGGGTCAGTTTAAGTAAGAGCAAAGGAATCTGCCCCCTTGATCTTCAGCRGTATTGTCTGCAGAGGTACCAGCAGCACAAGCAGCATGCTGATGGTGCTGTTACTTGCAGTGAGTTAGCAAGAAGTTGCTTCTCTGGTGTCCAGCCACACCAAGACAAGACAAGAGGGTGGAACAAGCTCCACGATGCAAAAGAGGAGAATAATTCTGCTCTTCCAGCGATAGTGGCTGGTAGGAGCACAATGAATTAAAATTGAGCTTCTGCATCTGCTATTTGCTCTTGAGAAATGTTTACGTTCAGTGTCTTTGCAGCTAAAACTGAATTTCACTTCCAGATCCGTGTAAATCTGTGTAATAGCAGCTGGAAGCATGTTTTGCCAAGGCAGTTCATTTCATATTTTCAAAAGCACACCTTACAAATAACCCAGGGAACTCTTGAAATTCTGTAGCCACATGCAGAAGTATGTAATAATGAAATACACATAATGAAATTTTTTCTGTTAAAATTAAATCTTTGAGTACTTCAGTAATCCTTTGTTTGTTTTCAGACATGAAAGGAATAACAAGGAATTTTAACACGTACTGAATTTACTGTTGCATAAACATTCTAGTTTTCCATAATTATCCTTTGCCTTTTTCTAAAACGCGTAGTTACAAATCCCCTCAATATGCTTTATTATGTCAAATGAGCTTGGGATAAGATTCCTAAAAGTTATTCTTCTATGTTTCATCTAYGTTTCCTTAATTAAAGTGCTGCTAGATTGTTGGCCAGTTCCCACTGTATCTGTGACTGTGATGTATAAATTGCTAAGACCTCTCTGCACAGAATTTCACATTAAGGTGAAGARCAATATGACAGATATTGAATGAATAATGTTACTTAAATAGAACTATCAGTTATCTGACCAAGACCAGGAATGTTTTTTTAGCCTATTTCGGCTCTATTTTTATTGATATTTTTTGGCATTTGAAGTGTTTCTTGCACTTTACATGAACCTCAAGTACCACATAAATTTTTAGCCTATATTAGGCTAAATATAAGCCTAAATATATTTTTAACACATAGCAAAGACTATTTGATGTAGTCTGGAATTCTTCTTACATGGTTACATTGCTATAGGTGAAAAGTGGGTCTTTTTATAGATAAATATAGTGGAATTTTTCTTTAAAAAATTTGGGCTTTTTTTTTTTAGTAGAAAATGTATAGTGAGACATGAATAAGTGTTATCTGAACATCACTTTTTTAACAATAAACAGTGCYTAGAATTTATTTGGAGGTAAAGTAGCTTGGTATATCCTTGGAGGAGTGATCTTTAGTGAATTTTTTTAGTTTGTGAATCATTCACRAAGGACTTCAGAYTCAGAGAATATATGCTATAAATTACTTGAGAATCCTAGTAAGTACTGGAATTGTGTAACTGTCATCTGAATTTTGTTAGATGCAGCTAGGTAAATGTGTTGGGAAGAAAAATGTGTTGATAATTTATGATGCTGAATCATCACAAAATCATTGAGTCATTCCTTCCTTGCTAAACTGCAGTGAACTGAGAAAGTTGGTAGATTGTACCAACAGGTATTCTGGTACTTTGTGGTGGGGTTTTTTTCAGATCTGTGAGAGGGGTCCCAGTTGCAGTGAAGTCTGTATAAGACACAGCCATTTCCTGACCATGTCRCAGAGAGATTGACTGCCTGATAAACAAAATCAATTTGCTAATCATGTTGGAATCTGACTCTTCTCTGCGTATTGTATGCTTACATAAAACCATTAAAATATAATGTGTACTTTAATTATAGGGGGAAGCTGGCATGAATGGACTGAAGGGTGACACAGGAGAAAAGGTAAACTACTTCTTAGCAGAGAAGAAAATGTGTGCCTTAGGCATGCGTATAGTATAACCAACTAATCAAAATAATTTGTTCAAAATAAACGTGCATTTTAAGCTGGGGATTTTTTTTAAAAGGTGAGTGATTTGGTTGATTTTTGTGAACAGCAGGAAAACTGTGACTGTTCYGTCCAACTGAGCATAAGATTTCTGACTTTTTACAGCAGTAGCTCAAGTGCAGAATACATCAGCATGTTTCTAGATTCCTCTCTGCTGAAATTTGCATCATACAGAAGCTTTTGTCCCAATCTGCTAGTTGGAACTGGTTGAGTTATAGCCGTTTCTTCTGATACATCCTTTCATTTTTGTCTTTCTGTGTTTCCCTCAAAGAGAGGGACCAAACCAASATGAGGCAAAAATAATCATGATAGGTGTCATGATAGGCAACTTCCCTCCRAAACTGGCAGCTGGAAAAACACAYTTTAAAAAACACACTTTAAACCTTTCTTCCAGGTGTCATTAACAGTCGCCTCACTTTATACTTTCTTAGTTCATTGTTGCAAAGTACCAAGATGTTGTAGAAACCAAAAAATAGATTTTGTCAAAATTTTTGTTTTCCTGAGTTTTGTCTTACATGAGACTYGCACTCAAAAGATTGAACTGGAGTTTTCAGTGTGGTTTCCTTACACAAGTCAGGCTTTAGCAGTCAAGGTAAAGGCTGTGTTCACATGAAAAAGGGTCAGGCATATTGATCTCTTCTGGCCATCACTTCTGAACTCATATTCTTCTAAAAACCATTTATTTTAGTGACTACACTTGCGCAGAAGCATAACGTTTTTTCTTGTACCCCTGCATGCATAATGCTTAACCCAACTTACATCAGTGCAAGGAGAAATTTATGATGGATTTATCAACCTGGTAAGGAATTCATGCAAATCCCTCAGGACCTGTCACTTGGGTACAGTAAAGATGTGCTTTGAAGAGCACAAGGATTTTAAGGCATTTTCTAAAATCAGCAGTTAAAAATAGACATCAGATTTWAAAATAGTCAAGTTATTAGATTCTTGGAGTTAATTTAAATAATACTTTATCTCCAGTCACACTTATTAATCCAGATGAGAGTCTTAAGAACTTTATTTACTTACTTACACAATGGCATATGATCTTACACGGTATATGCTGGTAGCATAATCTTGATCCACTTTTATGTGAATTAAGAATATTATCTGCTACAAGTATGAGATTGTTGTTCAGATAGATAGTTCTACAACAGGTAAATTATAAGTTTATAATCTCTCTGGGAAGAAGCCTAGTGCAGCTCCTCCTGTTGCTTTTCTTCTTCCTCAGCTGTGAGAGTGAGCTTGCATCCACTAGAATGCCCATACTGCCCCCTGAATGTGCCCCCAGTGTGCACATTCCCACTCCAACCCCTCCGTTTGGGATCTTTTTTAAGGAAAGGAAAGGTTCTTTCCTAAAGGTTCTCTCCTCCTTTCAGTAGGCAATCCTTTCTGCCCAACTATAAAGTTTTAAATATTGCTGCAGGAATTAGGCATTAGAGTTGGGATCAACCTGTGGAAAGTGTAGTGGTCAGGARACTTCTTATATTGCCATATCTGAAGAAATTTCAATTCACCTGTTGAACTTCATAATGCAGAGGTCTCCCATCTCTTCTAGGTTTCATGTAAGTTTCAGAGATGGGGTGGTGACATGGGAATGTATTCTGTTTGTTTGGAGTGCCCTGCTTTARCCATAACAGGTTAGAATCCTCTGCATTAGTTTTTGCCAGACTTTCCAGAACTGTAGAACTTGATTATTAACTGTGGACTTTCATTATTTTTCTTCTTTTTCCCTGCCTACAAGACAATCTGCCACCCAGAAAAAAGATATRGTTCTTTGAGGAGAACTGCAGCTTAATGTTTCTGATAGGTAGCTTTGCAAACAGTACTTTCTAAAAAGCTTCGGAGGATGGTTTTTGACAGATAATTTAGGAATAAGCATTTAACTTGGTGCCATTACTTTACACTTGAGCTGCTTAACARGGTTTGTGTTCTTCCCTGTCCTTCAGCACAGGGGGAAGTTTYTGCTCTGTGATTATTCTGTATAATTCCAGCCTGAAGTTGCCCAGCAATTACTAAGCACTTAAGTRGCAGAGGAAATCAGCATGACTATTTCAGACACATTTCATGAACATGTTCACAAAGTAGACTTGACTTRAATTTTTTTCCATATTTGTACTTCTGTCTGTATTACAAGACTTACTAGGGGTCTTTATAAAAGATTGTTTTTAAAAAATCTGATGAATGTATTCAGAGATAAGTTGAATATCCACTCAGTTCTAGGTGTTCAGCTGCACATGTGCAGACCCCTCCTGCTCAGTAAACAAGCCATTAATCTTATGTAAATAAATGCAGAGAATGTTGCACTAGATGGTAATGCTGCATATAGGCTTAGCAGATTTAATCCATAGTTCATAAAATTTAAAGTTTCTGTGAGATAAATAATAAATTTTTATTCATATGWTGAGAGAGSRRGATGCCACGTGACAACGGATTCAGWCTTGGTTTAGGAGCAGGTTCCTGTTTGTGCAATATAGCTTTGTTTTCTCAACTGCTATACCTAGTGACACTCAGAAATGTGGACTTGGATCCTTAATTCTTGACCTGAGACTTTAGATTTAAAATGTCTTTGTTGAATTGTCCTGCTCTAAAGACGGTGTCAATGCCAAACTTGAGTTCTTGCTGCTGTCCTTGCACTGTAGCCCTAGAAACCACCGAGTATCTTCCTTCTTTGTACATGTTCCCTGCTAAAGTTTCTTCATTTGCAAACTGTCTTGGGCTCATCAGTGAATTGAGAACATATTGTACCATAAATTTTTCTTTGATCTGATASTAATTTTTATTCTTGCATGAAGGTGGRTTATRAATATTYTGTGTGTTSTCCATATCYRTTGTTACCCTTTGAAATGTTTAACYGGTTAATGTGTCTTAYTAGTTGCTTTKCCCCTATAGAGCTGTAAAAGGTTCTTGAGGCTTTCAGYTGTACATGCTTGTAAGGGATATAAGCAGTGTCACCCATGCATGTCTATGAAAATGAGGCTGCTCAGGTTTCCATGCATGTATCAGCCCTTCCTAATACTGATTTTTGTGCTTTCTTCACACAAGAACAAGCTGCAGTATCTGTTTATTCCTATTCTTCAGAGGCCAGTGATCATGTTAACTGGTACAATCCAAATTTTAAGAGAATACCAAAAAGACACCATACCCAAACCAGCTGTAAAGCTCTAGCATTCACAAAAACATTAGAAATGGGCATCCCTTCTTCGGATTTTAATACAAAGAGTATTTTTCTCTGCTTGCACATCTTCAGAGTGTATTAAAGTACAGGCTTCTGTTCTACCCATGTAAATCACTGTCAAGCTGTTCAGGAGCTTGGAGTTGCTGCTATGTAGCAACTTGCTGTTTTCAATGAACCATGTACGTTTATTTTGAATAACCAATAATTAAACATTTTTTTAAATAGAAGCATGCTAGACATCTTCAGTAGCATATAGTTTGACCAGGAAACTTCTCAGTAGTTTTTTTTTTTCTTTTTTCTTTGGCATGTTGTTTAAAAAAACAAAAATCAGCTGATCCTCTGTCCTGTGTATATCACTGCCCATGAAATCCAGTCAACCTAGCAAAATGTAGGCAAATCTCTTTGAATCCTAGAWGCCTCCTCAGACCAGAGACCTTTCCTGGATACATAAATTACCATAGCTGTCTCATCCTGTAAAACGTAACACTTCATGTATTAATCTATTAGTTTAAATATACTCGAGTGTTGAGGAAATAGAGCTGTGACCTGTCCTGATGGAGCTAAACTCGTAGGTCACTGGGCTTTTTTTTTTAAGGTGAGTCTTCATTAGCACAAAAAAAATTGTCAGTTGAGACCTGACACTTGCCACCAGCAAAATTAGGTCTAAATGGCGGCTCATATCCTTTGTAAACAACAGTAAATTATTTTTAATGTAGATCAGCAGTTTAGAGATGTCAAAGGATGTTCCATCTTCTGGCTTTGTGAAGTACATTTATACAACATCTGCAATTATTACATCTAAATTATTAGTTGTGAAATTTGAGGTTAACTGTAATAGGTGTTTGGGTGAGTGAAACTAAATGTCTCTGCATGTTATTGAAAACAATACTGTTCCTTTTCTGAATCACACTGATTTAATGGATCAGTTAAATTCCTGTGTAGCAGCACAGAAAAGAGGCAGTCTTGCAATGCAGTTATTTTGCTGTATAGTGTTGCTATACTCTTATATGATTTATGTGTTTCCTGGAAAACTGTTTATGTGGTAAAAGTGATTATTTCTTGTGGATTTTATATCAGGGTGACCCTGGCTCTTCTGCAGCTGGAATTAAGGTAAGGTAGTTCTAAAGCAGCTGTGCAGGGAGAAGAGGGGTGGTTGGTCCATGTTGCTTTACAGTGTCACAGACATTTTGGGTATCATTAATGTCATGGTTTTCCACAGCTCCATCTATAATTCTTTTTCTCCARTCTCATGTCTTTCATCTGTTTTCTTTTAGGGTGAACCCGGTGAGTCTGGACGGCCTGGACAAAAGGTACTACTTGGAAATGTTCCCTTTTCCTTTTCCCTGGATTTCTGATAAATGATGTTACATCCATGTTACCAGTGGTGCTTACCTGTACTGGGATAGTCTGAGGCAGTGCAGTTTAGCAGCCCAAGGCTGTAAACATTTTGTCTATGATTATTTTGCATTTTGAAAGAAGCACAGGAATGATGGTACTAATTAACATGAAAAGTAGTTTTGACTAACCCACCTTCCCTTCTARCCACAGCATACTTCTTGCATTGAAAGCTTACCCAGTTGAAGCTGCTGAGACTAACAAAAAATGGCTCTGCTCCTTGAGTGATCACACCTAACTCTGCATGGTTTGACTATTAATCTTCAAACTGTGGTACATTGTTACATCTCATTGGGAAGAAAATAATTATGGATTAGGATTCCTTTCACATACACCTGTAAGGACATCACACCGTCAGAGGCAGTGTGTTTGGAGGGACATAGAGCAGGTAGTGCTGCTCTGTTCTTCCTTCCAGCATAAGAAATTCCCCTGGGTGCTGAGCGGCTGACTCTGCTTCTGCAAGGAAAGGTCCTGCAGGAGTTACAAGGACTGTGCTGCACGARGCCCTCTGAATCTGGGGAATTTTCTCTTTGGATCCATAGTACACCAAACACAGAAAATGCTGTGCCTTCAGCTCCTTTTTATGAGAGTAGGGAGAGGAAAGAGACAAGGAGAGAGCCAGACTTTTGCATTGCAATATTTAGTTTCCCGCAGGAGCCATTGGCACTGTCCTTGCCTCTTACMACATTGAAAATTATCCACTGCACATTCTGCCAGAGTGGAACAGAGTCCTTCTGCCAGCTGAGATACTCCAGACGGACAGTCAAGAGCTAAAATTCTATGTAGTGGATGGCAAGATTACCATTTTCTAATCCTCAAGGTCTTTAGGTGACTAAGCAAAAGCCAAACCACATATAAATAAGAAATAAATAAGAAATTAGGTCTTTTTGTTTAAGAAATTATAACTCTCATCAGAGACTAAGCAGAGACTATTATGGTTGCAAATGCAGTTCCTTAGTRAAGTGCAGTTTTAATTAGGAAAGGTAATAACGTAGTTTAGAGCTATCTAATCCACAGAATCATTCAGTGTGCTCATTCTGCAGTGTATGCTTTGCTTGGGTAATAAGCTAGAAAATGCACTTCAGCGCCTGTGGAGATTCATACTCTCATTAAGTGGCTGCCATAGAGGCCAAACCAGCAGTGATTTATCTGCAGRCTCCTGGTTCTCAGTCCCAGGCACTCAGCTTGGATCTGCTTGAGGCAGCATGGATGACTGAGAAGAATGCAGTTCAGACTTTCTGTAGTGTCACGTTCTTTTTCACACCAGAGGGGGTTTWGTGTGTCTTTCCATTCCCCTCATGAGTTCCCAGTGTGCCACACTCCAACCACTGTGTCCCAATCCCAACCATCAGCTTCCATAACGTGTCCAGTCAGGGTACCTCCTCCAGCCAGGTACCCCATGTCTGCTGCTCTGCATCCCTGCTTAGCAGGGACTGTTTCACACCACCAGAGGCTGTGGGAGGTTTTTTTGGAGTCACATCTCTGCCATCTACATCATCTCAATTATTTTCCTTCTCTCTGTGTCCTATTCTTATTTCCCATGTCTTCCCTTCTTGTATTTTCCTTTTTCCTCTTCTTCTAGTTGTCCCCTATCCATTTTCTGAGGACAAACATATATTGAGCTGCCCACCCAAATACTATTTGTGTGAAATGAAATGTGRCAATATTTCAGCAGTCTGRCAAAGCCTGTTGTGGGCCATATTGKGTGCWGAGGTGACAGAATGACCTGCTCTGCCATTATGTAATAGAGTTAATATACAGCCCTGGTTTCTTTAAAAATCATTCTTCTCATGAATCATACTCAGAATTTTTATATTAGGAAAGGTCCAGAAAAGAAAATGTTTTTCATTAACCTACAATGCTGATTGTAATTAAGAAATAAAAACTGATTTCATTGTGTTTTGYATTGATGTATCTTTGAGGGGTATTTTAGTTGTTTTAGGTTACTGTGAATTCTGAACTGGCTTTGGTGGATCCTTTCTTCAAAATGTGTGTGAGTGTAGGGAGCTTAGCTCTGTCCCAAGACTAAATAGTGACCTACTGTAGTAATACTAATATATTATCAATTGTAAATATTCAAATTCTGTGYTTGCAAGTGAAATTTAGTGCTTCCACAATTAGTTGAGAAAAGTTGGTGGCATTAGTGCTGTTTATATGGCTGCTCATGCAAAACGTGGAAAGACAGAGTAGGTGTTTGGAGCTAAAATTTTGTTAGTGCCATGGAGACCTTTCAAAGCATTATTCTTTTGCAAGAGTAATAACCCATGTTCTGATTTAGAAAGTGATAGCCAACATGCCAAAAATAAGTGTCTATTGAAAGTGGCATCCTATTCTTTCATCTGATTTTACAGTTAGTATTTTGAAACTGGAATCTTTCCTGTGCTTTTAGGCAACTTGAACAGTTAGGACTTTGGAGAAACTAAAACAGACAAAGAAGCTGTTATCAGATTGTTCTACACCACTTAAAAATCATTCTATTTGGTGAAGTGATTTGCAGCCCCTCTGCTGTGTTTTKCAGTTTGTGGCAGAAGGTTATTTTCTTATTAGCATTTAAGTGTATTTAATATCTCTGCCTCAAAGAAGTGTCTCTGGGTAGTGCAGTTTGATGAACAYCCATATTATGTGTACATGTGTTCATGTTTGTGTGTGTATACACGGGTGTCTATGAGTTGTGTGTATGTAGACACGTCAAATATTTTAATAGCACAACCTGTAGGAATCAGCCCAAACCACAGAATTGAAGTCTGCATTTCTGTAAAGCTCATGAGTGTAAAAAATCTGGAATATAGTTCAACTCATTATGAAGGTAAAAGTTGGCTCAGAGTTCAAACCTGAGCTTCTGGAAAGTTCAGGGAATATTCAGATCCAAGGTACTGGTTAGAATCCATCTCTGTATTAATATAAAATCCCCAGCCTTCAAAACAATGTATTCTTCACGTGTTATTGCACTTTTTTTTTTTCTGTTCATCATCTGTATTTCCCTAGACAAMATCTTTCCATTTAGCTGATATCTCAAAATGACCATTTGTGAGAATGTTGTCATTCTTGTCTTAGACTAATTTCAAAATTAATACATTCAGTTTTCAATACTTGTTCCAAAATTATCTTGCAAATAGAGTTCTATAGGTCTTTTCATGGCAATTTTAAATAAGCAAAGCCTTTCTGGGTGAAGCAGCAAAAGGTTACATTCCCACTATCCTTCATGACACCGTGTATACTCACAGATAGAGAACAAGCTCTGAAATGATGCTGTGGATTGCTCTATAAAATTGATGGCCCTGTTATAATTAGGCAGTCCTGCTTGAATTGTGCAATTTAAACCAAGCTCTTCTGAATTGCTTTGTAGCTGAATCAGACAGTTACACAGCACAATATCTTGCCTAGAGTTGGAAATGGAACAGAATTAAACATCTGCCCTGTCCTAAGTATGGAACTTAAATGGCAGTGTGTAAAATGAACCAGTGCTGCTCGTTTCCCTCTCTTTTGCTGAAGGCTAATGTGAATTCATATTTGGCTTTCCTGACATGGATTTTCAACCTGTGTGTCATCTTCTTCCTTGAAGGTTCCCAGAAGATACCTAAGTTCTTAACATGACTCTTACTAATTGTACTTTTAAGTCACTCATTTKGAAAAAAATTAGTCCTGCTGGAGCTGACTAGCAGTCATTCGTGCTCTTTTATCTTGCTGCAGAATTTACAGGTCTGTTCACTGGATAGTGACCATAACTGGATAATGTCTGTAATATTATGTAATTTTCCTGTATAGGGTGAACCAGGTCTTCCTGGGCTTCCTGGACTCCCTGGAATAAAGGTAAATAAACTGTAGTATCTGTTGTATTGAGGGGGGAACATCTCAAAGAGGGGGGAACTGCAAGGATTTGGACTTACTGTGCTTGTCTCATATCTTCCTCTGTATCTCTGGTGTTAAACTGGGGGTTRTCACAGAAAGTTCTCACATGGAAAATTGGTAAAGTGTCTGTGGGTAGGTAAACAGTATATCTTGCATTAAAATGTGAGGCACAACATTCTAGTGATTTTTTTTTAAATCGAAAATAGTAGAGGTTTGTGTATTTTTTATTTAATGGAAAAGTCTTGTCAGCAAAGTTTTACTTGGTTTCCACTTCGATGTGTGCTTTCCAGTAGCAATATTCTACTGAATAAACCAAGCCTCCATCCAGAGAGCTGCATTAATTGTACACAGGCTGTGGAGACCTGGCTCTATTGACAAAAATATTCTGTGCTCCATTACACAGCAGTGATTTCCAAAATGATTTAACAATACTGTGTTCARTGTTAGCTGCAGTCCCTGACACAATACCTGGTTTAGTCCCTGGCTTCCATTTTGTCTGGAATCTTTAGGTAAGTTGGTACAAAAGACACGTAATTGGTTTAGTTCTAGCATAAGCAGTGACATGGGGAGCTGCAGACACTCGCACGGTTTGAGCTGTGCCTGTGCAGTTCTGCACAGAGTGAGCAGATTCACATATCCTGAGCAAGCACAGATCAGAATGGTCATTTTTCCTTTGTGGCAAAGATTGTTGTTTCAGAAGACAGAATCTCCTTGAAWTTTTTTCTTTTCATTACAACCTGTGTATGTCTCAAGGAGAAAGTTCATAGAATTTTCCCAATAATAAGGAGGGTAAATCAGAGACCAAACTCTTGTCCATTGTGGTAGGATTCAGGATCGATCTCGTGGAATGTAACATTTGCACTGATTTTCTCAAGGGACCYGTGAATTGCCATAGCATTGAAGCATAATGTCCCTTCTGTGTTACTAGTGAATTATGGGAAGTATTGAACGTGCATATTAAATTTTGTGGGTTGTAACAGCTGAAAATATAGTTCCCAGGGAGGCTGTTCATTTTCTGCAAGAATGAACGCTGTACTGACTAGTGAGGATCATGCAGGAGAAGAGTCTTGKGTGAATAAACTGTTTTTCTAAGGGCCTTTGGCAGCAATCCCTGTTCTGTTTGCTTTAACAGTGAGCAAAGGGGTAGCTCAGTTGGAGGTCAGTGGGGCACTTGCCTGAGGCACTCATCCTGGGGACAGTTGCCAAAAGCAACTGGAGTTGGGGCTGCTCTTTGGGGTTTCCATATTCATGCAGGCCACATGTCCATGCATATAACCAGTGAATAAAATAAAGTCTGCATCTGAGTGGCTGCTGTGGGAAAATTACTTGTTGGCAATAAGAGTGGCTCAGAAGGGCAGCTTCCAGAATTACCTGAAATGCAAAATGTGAAGTGAAAAACGGATGAAGCGTGGGAGTTTTGCCCAGTGGAAATTTGTTTCCAAATTCAGTGGTTACAGTGGAAAAACGGTGCAGTTGCCTGCAGAATAAAATGGAATAATTTAGTCAAATATTAATCATTTAGGAAAACACTTTCTCCTGTTTAAAATCTAGTCCAGGGGGAGAYTGGTGGTGTTTCAGTGAAGAAATTTCATCTAGTACGATTCTGCATTGAGGTGGCTGCCTGTGACCTGKATGGTGACAAGCAAGCAGAGTGTGCACAGGGGACAGCAAAGCTTATCTGGTCACATCAGACTTACTGGATGGGTGCTGTTCATTTCAAGGCATTTGTAAATTCTATTTAATTAAGCAGTCTGTAGTGAAAATACCCTAAGCTTTTCTGTCACTGAGGCTGCATCTGTGGCATGAGAAGCGGTAGCAGAAACCAGAGGATAGCTGGAGGTGGGAATATAGACACTCATCAGCCAAGAAAACGTAGTAGTTTACTCTCTTTTATCAGCCTCCCTTTCATTAAAGATGTATGTACCATCGTGGTAAAATCATCACATTGATTTCAAAAAGCAACATCAGTGTTAATCTTATTGAGAAACAGATTTGCAGTGATCTGGTGTTGATTGAAAGCTACTTTGAAATAGCAGTGACAGGATGAGAGACTTGAGCGTGGAGGAAATCCAGTTATCTGGACTTGGAATCGGTGCTATCATGTTCTACACAACTGAGAGGAATTTTTCTTGGAGCAGTGACTTTTTTTCTATTTATTTTTCCGTTTTTCTTTCTTTTTTTCCCCCAAATGATCCTTGTTGTTTCGTACAATCTTTTTCAGGGATTTTGAGATCTGTTCTCATGTACACTTTATAAAACTCTCCAAGACAGGTCTTTGCTATTCTATCTTAATAGTGATATGCAGTAGTGCTGTAACATAAAAGGCATAACAGAAACTTCTCAAAATGTCATTGCAACATCCAAGAACTTGTTACAAAATRTAAGTTTCCATAAGGGAAATTTTTCCTAACAAACTGATTACACCATTCTTACTGCATTTTGTGCCAGCCCAGTAGCTGTTGGCAGAGATTTTTCAGGCTTTTTCCAAACTTCGTGAGAAGTAAGGAAAAGATCAAAATACAGGGTTTATTCTAACACTGAAAATTCCTGTTAAATATTAAATGCCCTTTTCTTCAGATCTGTTAGTTGAAATTAAAATTGCTTCCTCGTGAATGTTTCTGCACAGTGGCAGGCTGTATCGTGAAATGTTTTCAGTATCTGAATGTGTGCACAGCGCTCTTTAGAAATGCTAAACCAACCTGTGCAAGCACAAATGCTGTGCCAGGCAATGGACCATGGCTGTCCAGATACACCTCATCCTTCTTCCCGTGRTTGAGCCAGCTTCCCAAGACATTCAGTCCCGTGTGCTTCAGCATACATACAGGATTAGTGGATACTGATCACTGAGAAACTTTCAGCTTCTTGTAATGCCMTTTCAATTAATTAATCAGTGTTCCTGGGAAGCTGTTAGGACTTGGCTGAATGTGATAGTGGAGTCTGAAAGAGCGGCAGCATTGGACAGACATGCAAAGATCATATCTGAATTCAGGGTATGCAGCAKGGTCCTTTATTACCCACTTTTCTAGATCCATTCACTATGCACATGCGGATGTTTTGGGAGTTCTTCCTGTTCCTTTTCGTTCTCTCCTCACTGTCAGTGTGCCATGGAGGAAACACAAGCTCAGTCAGTTATTCCCAAGACAGTGAAGATGCTGTCTGTGACATGCTGGAGAAACATTTCTCAAGCACCTGTTGCTGTTTAGGAATGGCTGGAAACTTAATGAGCCCCTGAATGTGTTCCACTGTGCYGCTTGGGAAGCGAGTAAGGCACCTAAATCCAGAATATTAACTCATCACTCTGCTATCCCCCAAATGATGCCAAGCAGACACAGAAGCCTGTCTGTGAAACACAAACTCCATATATCTGTTTTATCTCATATCTTTTGTAGGAAGATACATACAAAGCAGCACTTGCTTGCTGTAATGGAAATCATGCATGCCCTCATTCACTGTAATATCAGACAACTCTCAGATCCATTGCATTGTGTGTTCTGGAATTTGGCCTGTGCAGTCCTCAATTTCTTCATTGCAGTGAGAAGCCTTCAGGAAACACAAGCCTCCTCAGTAACAGCGCTTTTTGCAGGATCTGGATTTCTACGGTATTTCTGGCATTTGTCCTTCAGCTTTTAAAACAAATACTGAACCAAAGCTTACAAGCTCATATAAATTTTTATTTTTTCATGGTAAAAAAAATGAACTGTTGAATGGCTTGATATGAGAAGAGAAAGGCTGCTTAGGCCTTCTGCTTTTGGGAGCTAGGGAAAGCTTTCTGTGTTTTAAAATCCAGTGGAAGTGGCTGGTTCCCCAGTATGCAATGTCTTGTATCTTTCTGTACAATTACTTTGGATTGACTTCCCTGGGACTGTGCTTGAGAAAGATTTCAGAAAAACCTGGATAAGGATATGGGAATTTGAATCAAGTTTATGTCCTTTTATTTTTCTTTTTATGAAAGCAAAAGCAGTTCTTATTTTCTTCTGTACTTAAATGTCTTTTCTTTTTTCCTATACCTACTCAGAGATCTTACTCTGTAAAGACTGAAAGACTGTTCCAGAGTCTGCATCCACAGAATGTACCTTTTTAAGATCTGGAAGAGTTGATACTACTTTCACATACTTAGTTCTGTTACAGARGAGAAATTTCAGAGAAAATGAGAGAGAATTTTCAAGCTGAATGCATATAAGTTAGTTTCCTATTTAAATTTTTGTAGAAAAGAGAGCAACTGTTGTTGAAGCTTATGTRTTTAAATGGTGCTCTTACCATCTGTCAGCAAAATGAAAGGAAATGTGAAGCGAATGGTAGTTCTAAGCTTTTTGGAGTCAATGCCGTGTACCACCTATAGCAAAATTTGGTAGATTCCCTTTTCTCCTTAGGAAGGCTGTTCACATTTTCCTAATGCAGTTCTCCCTTTCTGTATTTGATTCTACCTGGTTTTATTCCTTGATGGTGTTAGCAGGAAACCTGCAGGGTCTGTGTCTCTGTCCATTTTCTCAGATATTCTTGCCCAGGCTTCAGTTCATCTTTATCTGATAGGTCACCATATTCAGAACTCTTTCTAGCCTGAACTCAGGCACTGGAAGGGACCATCTGACTTTGCGACAGGCCTTTCCAAATCCTGGATGTGCAAATGTGCTAATTGCAGCAGTTGAAATGTGAGGGAATTAATTTTTCTCTGATATGCATTTGCCTTAGCTTATATATATATATAAACATTCAAGTGTGAACTAATTTCCATCCTTTAATTGCTTTCATACAGTTACAGTGTTCTTGAAAGTGGGTCCTCTGCCTGAGCCATGGAAAACGGGGAGTGTAGTACAGGTTGAATACTGGAGAGTGGACTACAGGGATGAATATTCCGGGTGAAAATGGGGACTGATCAAAAAAAAGCAGGACTTAGTGCCCACCTTTGGTGGGCTAGGTTTCAAAATTATTTCTGTCTGTGGGTAGGTAGAATACACTGCACA